CCCTTAGCCAGGATGGCGTGCAGCAGAGCAGCACAGGGGGCTGCCCCGGAGCTGCTGGGATCTTGTGGTGGGGGCAGTTTGGTCCAGAGCCAGGGCAGATGACAGAGCCACTGTTTGTAGTCTGCACACTCTGGGCAGGGGCATGCATGCAGGGGATTGTGGCTCTGCCCTGGCTCCTTATAGCAGCAATAGCTTGGTTGGGGCCAGGGCAGAGCCATGATCACAGCTCTGCCCTGGCTCCAGAGCAAACTGCCCCTGCCACAAGATCCCAGCAGCTCCGGGGCAGCCCACTGCATGGTGTAGCTGAGGCTCAGGTCTCCATGGAGACCAGCATAAGCCATGCGGGCAAGGGCAGCTGGGAAAGGGAGTCCTCAGCTGACCAGATCCGACCTGCGGGCCAGATGTTCCCCATCCCTGGTCGATATAATCAGTTGTTCCCATAGTTTATTAATAAAACAGAGTAGTTATAACTGATGCTTCTCTCCATTTTTCTCCTCAGGAGATAATTACTCTTGCAGATACAACACTTTTGAAATTACAGAAGGTAAAAGCTGCTCTATAAGAAGTCTTCACATCTTATTTCTATTCAGGTAGAAACGGTCATGTCTTTCAGATGCATGTCAACACATTTTTCTCCCCAAAGAGAGATACGGCCTGTATCATACAGCTATCAAACAATCTTCCTTGAAGTATTCTCTCCAGTTGGCCACCAAATTGACTACCAGTTACCACAATCTGGACAATGATAGGATTTTGATGACCTGCTTTACTTTGTGGATTTAAAATTCCTTATTTTATGTATAAAATATGAATAAAAATGAAAGTAACGAACTAAGGCCTAAACTTCATGTAATTAATAATCTATAGCATCTGAAGTATAATGGCTCCTCTGTAAGGTTAGTATTGACTAACCAGCTCACAGAGGATTCACCATAATGGATTGCCATAGCTATTCGTTTACTATATACTATATACATGTTCTGAATGAAATAACTGATCCTTGGGAAAGCATACAGCACTTCACTCCTTTCTTCCTCCTGTAATTACCATGTGTACTTACTGAACGCTGTCAAGTTAGTTTTCTAGCCTGTCTTCACAGGCGACAGAAACTTTTAAAACACATCAGGTATTTGCAGGCTGGCCACAAATTTTATGATGCTGAGGGCAGTTACACTACAAATGTTCATCTTTTGAGTTTTATTCACCTTAGAGCTGGACAAGTACAGGAACCATACAACAGGCTGCTTAGATTCTTCTGGTCAAGGTGGCAGAAGAAAGAGTGAGATTGGGGGTGTAGTAAATGGTATTGCTCCTAATTACTTAAAAGCCAAAAGTAAATGTCATTCTCCTTGGAAATCTAAATAAAAAAAAAAAATACTTAGAGCTGAGTGGTGAGTTTCTAATTTACTTCCAGCTAAGGCTTGGAGCAGCACTGTCTTTCAGTTGAGGAATTAATGCCTTCCAGGGCATATTAACTGTATGCAGAGCTTAGATGGCTAAAAACAATAGGTATACCACCACATACAGGAGGGAGAGGAAGCAGTAGATAACCTGGTTTCTCAGAAGCAGGCCCCAGGGTGGGAGGATCTTGTGTTGCCAAAGTTTCAAGTAAGAAAGGAAAATAAATACAATGATACACTGTACTAGCAGAAAAAGGAAGCAGAGTACACAAGGGCTTCCCGCAGTGCCTGTGGAGGAAATCACTGCAGTGGATGAAGATCTCCAAGTTTGCAACCTCCAGCTCACGGTGCCTTTATGAAACATTCCCTTTGAAAGCCTTGTTCTTGCATATATGGAAAAAAGTAGCCACTGTCCATTTCAGACTGCTTTCTCTGAGTGACTAAAGAGTTTCATTTTTCTTAGGTTTGGTTTTTTCCTTGATAGCTGCTTCCCACTGCTTTTTCTCAAGTGTGTACAGCCTCATAGCTGCTTGTGCATCCTGAATCTGAAAGATAATGGAATAAGCAACAGGTTAAAGAAAGGCTGAAATGCTCTAGTCAACATCTTCCCTCCCCCCAACAAATGCACCTTTCTATTTCAACTGATATTTTAACCTCTCCTCCCCAGTGTTAAGATTTAAGGGGGAAAAGAGACTAGTCATTCAAAAAGCAGAATCCAGATCAGGAGGATGTAGTGCAGCTAGCACAAACTGGTAATCCCTTGCTTTGAATAGGACCTCTGCCTCCTGACACCATTACCAAACATGGTATTTTGGAGCATTCTTGTGAACTTTCCCCACTCTTTCAGACATCTCTGTTTGCTCCTTCCTCTTGCCTACCAAAGAAGCCCTGACTACTACAGATGGAATAGAAGGCTAATTAATCATCTTTCACCTGCTCCTTTTACCAGCTGTAGACTGAATGCAGCTGTTGGTAGAATGGCACAAGATGCTGACATTAGGACACAAAGTTGATATAAGTCACCTTTACCATACTGTTTCTCTCAGGAAACTTCAGAGATTTAGATGCAGTATTGTGGAATTTGTTTATGGAGCGTAAAGAATAATATGCAAGTAAAACAACTGGCGCAATGCAGGGAAGCACTGGACAACCTTTGCTCAAACAGGTGTAAACAGTGTCCTGGATAGAGGCTGTGAAGCCTTAAGTAAAGTTTGAACCCAGGGTTCCAGAAGCTGAAGCCTAGTACAGCACTGATCCACAAAGTTCCGTTTTTCTCGTGGGCGTACGTACCGAACAATGCTCTGATGTCTGCACTTTCACATTCAGCAGTTTCTCACAAAGCAGTTTCAGTGATGGGCGTCCACTCTAGAAACAAAGCCAACAAAAATCACACGCTAGCCAAATCAGAAAATGAAATGAAATATTCCCCTGAAGGCACTAACTTAGGCCAAGTTTTGCAGTCATTTTTAAATTAATTAGAAAGGTAAGGTAAGAAAACTCTTCCAACCACAGCATGTAGCAGATTCTGTGCATGAACTGGCAAGATGAAGACTTAAGCCAGGTGTTTTCAACCTCATTTAATAAGTGTACTCCCGGCAGACCCCTTTTTAAATAAGCGTATCCCCAGGATGGGTAGTGGCGAGTGGTGGCACTGTGGCATCTGTGCATCCCTGCTCGCACCCTGCCCTGGCCCTGCTTCTGTGAGGCAGCGGCATGAGGTGGTGGCGCTCCGTCCCTGCTTGCCCCCACACACCCCCTGGGACCTTTCAAAGTACCCCCAGGGGTACGCATACCTCCTACTTGACTACCCCTGACTTAAGCCACTGACAGATCAATTCAGACATCTGTGCTTGTAAATCCCTTCGGCAATGGAACTGCACGAATGCACCAATGTAATCAGAAGCTGCATATATGATCTTTTAATATGGAGAGAAAAAAAGTATGTTGTTTTGAACTGTAAAATGTCATGTGTCACATTAAAGTCAACTGTTACACCTTCCATTTCTGAGGTCATGGAAGTAACTGTATTTTGTAAATTTAAGCAACTGATTCTCCAAGCAATATCCCACAACAAGTAAACAGGCTGTATGTTCACCTTTTAGTGCCCTATGTTTTTGCCCAGAAAAGTGACAGGAAAACCAGCTTTCCTAGGTCATGTTCGAGAAGTTGGGAGAGCCATTGAACTTACTGCACACAAATGTTATAAGTAATCTCAATCAGCAAAATATTACATGGTATTTTCAACATCTCAAGGGCTGTTTAAATACTGAACTAATTAATACTCTTGAATGGCAGGGGCAGATATCCCCATTTTACAGAGTGACGGAAGAGGGGGATAGGGGCTAGGCCAAACTCATTGGCTGAACAAGAACTGGAGCCTCTGACTCCCAGCTTCATACTTAGTCCTCTAGAAATTTTGGCGTGGAACTACTTCAAAATATGAACTAATGATTACATTCCTGAGTTCCTTACTTTGACTTTCTGTTTGAAAGGTTTGTATCTTTGCGTGTCCCGAATTTTCTTCTTAGGATGGTCAAGAAACAGGATCTGAAAGAAAAATATTTGCTCTGTAAATAGGTTATTTTGTACATCCAACTGCAGTGCAGCTAGTCGTCCTTCCATCGGCAGAAAAGACAATTCACAATGGGAGCAATTCTGATCGAGAACATTCAAACAGGGAATGCATAACCTGGCAAAGACGGTGGCCATCTTCAATACAGACGTGCTTCCTATGAAGACTATACAAGGCCGTTGTGCACATTGCTCCTGCTTGAGCAAAGTGGAATGCTAGTTTCTGAATTAAAGACGCTGCCTTACTGCAGCTCTTCGCAGGCAGTGCTACAGCTACCCCCAAATACAAAAATGATTCGATCAACTTGCTGTTTGTTTCTAGACTAGAAGGAAATACTGAACACCTGCTTTGCTACTTGTACAAATTGGACTGCTATACAATATGGTGTCCAGCACAGGTGGAATCTGGGTATTAAGACACTGCAACCTTAAGCTTAAAAATTTCTAATCTGTTTTCCTGGGTAACAAAAATCACTGAAGTTTTACCTTCAAAGCAACAAGTATGGAGATGTGTACCTTTAAGTCATTGTGGACAGCATGTCCAACTAAAATCCTTCCTCTCAAGATGTCAGCCACCTCCTCCTGAATTTTTTTAAAGTCTTCTCCTGAAAATGCAACATAAAAAAATGGTTTCAACATGGACATTAAACAGCAACTGAGCAAGTTGAGTGAGCATTAGAAGACCATCATGTGTGGTGGTCACTTTCTTAGGACCCAAGATGCAGAAGAATGCATGATTCTTGTACTTTGTCATCCCCTGCTTGTTCAGAGGAAGCAAAAACGAGACCAGGATGGATGCCTTGCAAAAAAGTTGAAACAGTCAACATCCACTTGTTGGTCCAATGCTAGGCTTGCATTTAAGCAAGTGTTAGAAACTACTTTTTTTACTGGGGCAACAATGGCCTTTTCGGGCAAATTGCGTCTTTACAGAATTTTTTATTCATGCTCCCCTGAAGTATTCTTTTATATTTAGAGAGATTAAGGTTGTGCAAGTGCTTTATTTCTTGCTCAAAAAATAGAATTCAGCAGACTCCTGATACACTGACAGTAACTCAGTAAGTTGCATAAGGTTTTTCTTAAGGATGTTCTGGGGAAGGCCAACCTACTTACCCTTCTTTGTGTCCTCAGGCCGTATCCCGCTAACTTCTGTCCTGTAATCAGTCACCTTTTCTGTAGGCTTGACATATTTGTCGTAAACGCACTTTCCAAACTGGTTCACGATTGACACACGAGCCACAATGCTGTCTTCCCCCTGGGGCCCCACTCCTATCATTTCACAGTCCATGGCTACAGCTTTTGTGAGTCTAAAAGAGGAAAACGGACACGCAGATTAGAAAGCCCTTGCTGAGATTGCATACTTCTGACTGCTACGCTGACAGGTGAGGCACCAGTTAATATAACCGGAACAGTTAACACCACAGAGCAGCTATAGTCTCTGCAGACTCTGGAAGACACTGTTGCATACTCTGTCCACAGCTGTAAGAACGGGAGTAAGTTTTTGATGCCTCCAATAATACTGTTGGTACTTGTTGCATTAGAAATACAACCTACCCACTGAAAGCCTTTTCTTTAACCAGCACCTGTTCCACAGTTGGCTTGGACGTGCTTTCAAGTCCCATTTTTCTTCTAGCAACTTCTGCTGCTTCAGGTCCTATTGCTGCTTCAATATCCTCTGGATCAACTCCATCAAACCAGATGTCATCCCTGGTAAGCAAAAGGTAAAAAGGACCTTTTTAATACTGTTCGATTTGGCTTTTTACAGTTTGGGTAAGCTTGATGTTTACAAAAGAAAGGAGTTACCTAGTTAGTCCTAGTCAGAGCCAACTAGTTTAACAACCTGAGCATGCAGACTACAGTTTTGTTCAAATATTTGAATAACTGGGTTAATCAGAGTGGTTTTTACTTCTCTCTTATCCCAGGCTCCTCAGGGATACCTTGTCTTTGAACTTCTTCCCATTCCCGTTACCCAGTCGAGCCTCCTGAGCTGTGACTCCGCAGTCTACAGTCTAAATTCTGAATCTGAAGTCAAAAAGTCCCCAAAATAGTTGTTTGAACTGTAACCCCCCCTACCTGAATGGGAAGGGAAGAGAATGCAGTAACTTGGTAGTAGGGAAGAGGTCTGAAATACTTGGGGGGACGTATCATAAAGGAAAGAGGGTTTCCCCTCCTCAAGAAGCACAGCATTGTATTAGCATTGTATTAGGTTTTCCCTCCTCAAGAAGCACAGCATTGTATTAGCCTTTATTTCAAGTTATTCAGCTGCCACTAAAACAGTTTAAAGCACCGCCATAGATGGGCATAAGGTTTAAAGCACTCACTCTGTTGGCGGCTGTTCTGCGCGCTCATCCCTTTTCCTCTTCTTATGCTTTATGTCCCCCTGCTTCGTCTCGCTATTGCCGTTTTTCCTTTTTGCCTTGAACTCTTTTCTGTTGCTTCGGGCATCGCCCAGGCTCTCGCCCGGCGCAGTTCTCTCCGATTTCATATTCGTCGGAGAAGCTCCCGCTTGGCCAGGACCACCCTCCGTCCGGTTTACAGGCTTGAATTTTACCGTGTTCCCGCTGCCATTGACGGCTGGAATCCCTTCGACGTCTTTTGTCGCGCGCCGCGGCTTGGGAGACGTTTCGGGGGCCGGGAGGGACTTCGCCAAGCCGGCCGCCTTCTGTTTCAGCACCTAAAGAAACACCCAACAATTAACTGGAGCGTTCGACTTTAATGTCGTCCTCCCACCTGAAATCCACCAAGCCCCGCTGACGTTTTTGAAGTTAACAAGTTCTTAGCTTAAAAACTAGTTGGAATTAAAAAAGTTTCTAGTTTAAAACTGATTTGAATTACGAGATAAATAAATAACAGATAAATTAAATAACAAGATCTTGGGTTAAAACTGATTTGAATGTAAAAGTCCGTGGTTTTTCCAACGCTCGCTCGGTCTCACACCAGGAGAGAGCCAGGCCCGGCCCCGCACCTCCTGCAGCGCCCGCCAGTTGGCGGA